CTAACCAATACTCTGTGGAGACGTTACCAAAGCCGGTCCTGTAGGCCTCCCAGTCTCTGGTGAAGTTCACCGCAGGAACAACTCTTGTGTCTCTCTGGAGGAACACCGTCCATCCTCCTGAAGAACAAGTGTTTGTCAGGTTCATCATGCCGCATAACACCTGAAGACTTTCTAAAACACTTTGCTTATATTAGTATAAGGAAAAATACCATAATAAATTAATTAATGATGAAGTGTCATAATTTCATCTCCCAATTCTAACAATTAACAGAAATTAAGGCATTGCTCAAATTTCAAAATGACACTGATAGTGTCACCAGTGTTTCCCATGGTGGGTGATAGTGGTGCTGGTAGTGTCACCATGGTGGGTGATAGTGGTGCTGGTAGTGTCACCATGGTGGGTGATAGTGGTGCTGGTAGTGTTACCAGTGTTTCCCATGGTGGGTGATAGTGGTGCTGGTAGTGTCACCATGGTGGGTGATAGTGGTGCTGGTAGTGTCACCAGTGTTTCCAATGTTGGATGATAGTGGTGCTGGTTGTGTCACCATGGTGGGTGATAGTGGTGCTGGTAGTGTCACCATTATGGTGGGTGATAGTGGTGCTGGTAGTGTCACCAGTGTTTACGTTAATAGGTAACTCTTGTACTAGGCATTATAATTTACTAACACTACTAACCAGTAGAGTAGTGATATTAAAATTATTTAACTGAGATGTAGTAGCGCCCGATTTCTTCCTAGAATCATGGCCGTGTTGCATCAGCCAGCCAGCCTCAGGGAATAGTTTCTATTTATTAATGGATCACTCCTTTTTCTCCTCCACTATATGGAGGAGAGAGAGGAGGAGAGACTTCACGCGAGAGCCCTCATAGTTTTGAGGTGTTCAGAAGCTAGCCCATTATCATCCGTCGAATTTAGGAGCATCTGGTTACCTGCGAGCTCCTGATTGATTCTGCAGCTTCTATTATTTGTGGTCACTGCGTTTGGCAGGGAATATGTATCTTTACAATTTCATGAACAAATCCACAAGGGCCGTGACGAGAATCCTCATCACGGCCCTTGTGGATTTGTTCATATGATGCATCACGCTATTGTGATTTCTGTGTGAGTTTACAATTTCATATTGGCCATTATAACTTGTGAACATTGGTCCCCTGCCGTTACGCCACACGACAACATCCAAACCCATGTGAGTGCATTTCTTGATCCCCAAACCCATTTAGATTCTGCGATTAAATGTATGAGTAGATGATTTGACGTGGAAATTAAATAAGATTTGCCTTTCAACATGGAATTAACTGCAAGAGAGACGAGTTTCTACTTACATGTTCACATGTTTCTAGAATACTGCTGACTCGGACAAGAATAAACGGGTTGTCGCTGTCGGATGTTATCCACATTCACCTCTGACAACTAAGCTGTTTTCTTGTTACATTTTGTAGTTAGCTAATAGACTTATTTTCTCAGTGAATTTAATGTTAGAATGATTTATTTATTATTAGAAATATATTAAGTTCATATTATTTGTCCCCAAGTTGTAGGGTGTATGGATTTAGTTCTGAATTAATATAAATATTCATTGCGTTAAATCTATGTGATTTAATTTATGCATTATTATTGGAGATCAATAAGCCACTGGTTCTCTCATTTTTATATAAATATTGGTCCTTCGAAATATTTAGTATTATTCTTCTGTAGAATTAAAACCTCCCCCACAATAGTGGTGCTGGTAGTGTCACCGGTGTTTCCCATGGTAGGTGATAGTGGTACTGGTAGTGTCACCAATGTTTCCCATTCTTGGAAATATCCAACACTTATTTTTCATTTATAGTACTTCGATAAATCATCCTTGTACTAACAATTATAATTTACTAATAATACTAATCAGTAGAGTAGCAATATTAATTCCTTTCCTATTGTGTAATAACTGCACCAAATCTTTCCTACTTTGCTTGTCGATGTAGCATCAGCCACCGAGAGAAAGATAACGTCTACATTTTAGAGAATTGTGTTCACTTCGACCTTTATTTCAACATTCTTCATTAAGAATTATTAGCTAGTGCTATATTTACCATGATCGAATGGTATAGCGTGATTAGCTGAGCATCACTATAAAACAGTATCTATTGTTATCACCTAGATTCATGGAGAAAAGAATTCTCCTATAACCTTTTCAATTTATATGAACTTTGTTTCATATTAATTCTTATCCTGTGAGAATTAAATTAACTCTCTTAATAATAAACCCTATCCTTATTATCTCACATACTTGAAGAAATAATAGGAGAAAAATTCTCCATATCAACTCTCACATCAATCAGACATTCGGCTCGGCGAGCATTATCATGATATGTCTTACTAATAGTTCGTAGATTGTGATCACAGTACATCGAACTTGTAGGACGCTCGTTGTTAGGCCGCATGGACTCGAAATAACAAAAATTTGTGCCATTGTGTCAAGAAGGGAGATAGTCTATGCCCCAATGTGTGTTCCAGGAACGCCTGTTTCGAGAAGTATTCTTGACAAGACTGCCCAAATGCTTACATCTATTTCTGCAATACAGCTAAATAAGTAATTATCAAAAGAAGGCACCAAACCGGGAAGGCTATGTAGCACCATCAAATGTGCGGAATAATCAGAGGACGCTAAATATCACCAAGGATGCCAATACGAGAACAGAAACGCATAAGGTGAACGATATGAAAAGTATCTGAGTCACCAAGAATTCTATCGAGGGACAATTAGTAACAGCGAGGGGCGGTCAGAAAGCAAGACACGCTCGTCCTGGAAATCAGGGCATTCAACAAGAATATGCACAACGGTAAGAGGGACAACGCAATTTCGACAATAAAGAGCCGGGCGGCGCTCCATTAAGTGACCATGAGATAAACGAGTATTACCTAAACGCAACCATTTCCCACAGCCGGGATTACGGTGGCAGAAGGAAGACCACGGGGACTCACAACGCTTAAGAGTATGCAGTTTGTTACCAACAACAGAAGACCAACAACCCTTCCAACAGGCAAGGACGGAGGAATGAATAACCTGATAAAGGTTGGAAGAAGGAATACCTTTACAGGAAATGGGACAAGAGCGGATAGCCTCTCTAGCGGCAACATCCGCACCCTCATTTAAAGAAACACCAACATGGCTGCGAACCAAGCAAAACACCATGGATTTAAATTTACTAGAGACAAGAAACAGCCAATGTTGAATCTCGATGACAATGGGATGGACAGGATTAAAGGACCCGAGAGCCATGAGGGCACTACGAGAGTCAACGACAATCACAAAGGAGGATTGAAAACGAGAAAACAGGAGAAGGAGAGTATGGAGAATAGCATAAAGCTCTGCTGTGAAGATGCCAGTCTCCAAAAGAAGGCGACACATATAAGTGCAGTCAGGAAAAACAACGGAGTAGCCCACTCCGTCCACGGACTTAGACCCAACGGTGAAGACGGAAACGGAGCGGGAGTGTGAAGAAAAGTGCTCAAGAAAAAGGCGTTTCAGAACCGTAGGAGGAGTAAAAGCTTTAGTAATGCGGGCAAGGATGTACAAAATTTCGGAAGGGGGGACCCTTCACGGGGGCAAGGAAGAAACAATACGAGAAATATAAGAAAGACGAATGGAAAGAGACCTGTAAGCGAGATAGCCGGACAGAAAGAGGGATATGGTGAAGAGGAACAGGGCCTACAGGAGGGGTAAAAGTCAAAGCACGACAGAGGCGAGAGGAAGGATGTTGCAAGGACCGCACCAGATAGCGAAGACAGTAGAGATCACGGCAGTCCTGGAGAGATAGGAAACCAGTGTCAACATACAAGCTGAGGGCGGCAGTCGAACGAAAGGCACCAGAGCTGAGGCGAAACCAAGAATGGTGCAAAGCATCAAGACGGCGAAGAGTAAAAAGAGAAGCGGACGAGTAAGCAGGGCAATCATAATCGAGTTTAGACAGGACGAGTGAGGAATGTAGAGAAAGGAGCGTACGCCTAAAAAAAATAAAGTATGGGACAAAACCTTAAGGACGGAAAGGGCCTTAGAGCATTCAGCACGGAGGTAAGAGATATGGGATGACCAAGACAAACGAGTGTCAAAGATTAACCCCAGAAGCTTAGAGAAATCCTTGTACACAAGGGTATGCCCATAAAGAGACAAAGAGGGACGAAGAATGACACACTTTCGAGTAAAAGTCATAGCACAAGTCTTAGATGCAGAGAACCTGAATCCATGATCGGTGGCCCAAGACGACACGGCATCAATCGCAAGTTGAAGCCGCTGTTGAAGGAGAGGCGAATCATCACCCCTACAGCAAAGGGTAAGATCGTCTACATAGAGAGTGGAGAAGACGCCAGAAAGAAGTGAGGAAAGAACGCTTCTTGAGAGCAACAAGAAAATGAGTAGTTCTCAGATAATTACCTTGGGGCACACCCTCATATTGCCGAAAAGGGGCAGAGAGAGTGGTACCAAGCCTCACTCGAAAGGAACGACGAGGGACGAAATTTTGGAGGAAGAGAGAGAGAGTCCTATGAAGGCCAAAAGAATGAAGTTGGGACAGAATATGATACTACCAAGTAGTGTCGTAAGCCTTTTCCAGGTCAAAAAAGCCGGCAACGACGGAGGTCTTCGCAGCAAAAGCAATACGAATATAGACCTCCAAGTTCACCAGGACATTTGTAGTGCTGCAGCATTTGCGAAAACCAAATTGAAAAGGGGAAAGGAGGTGATATTGCTCTAAGAACCACATCAGACGAACGTTAACCATATGTTCAAAGAGCTTGCAGACACAATTCGTGAGGGCAATAGGGCGGAAGTGCTTGGGGGAAGACCCGAGAGACCCTGGTTTCCGACCAAGGAGAACAACAGCATCGAACCAGTTCTCAGAGACTAACGACGACTCCCAGACCCGATTAAACAGACTCAGTAAATACTGAGACAAGCACGGAGGGAGAAGTCGAAGCATCTCATAATGAATGCCATCGGAGCCTGCTGCTGTAGAACCGCAGAGGGCCAGGGCAGACGAGGTCAGAAATAGAGAAGGGATCGTTATAGGGAAGGCAGAGATAGGTACAGAAATCCAAGGGACGAGATTCAAGAAGGTGCTTACGAAGAAGGAAGGAATGGGG